TTGGCCCCCAAAAGAATTATTCTACAGTTAAAAAGAAGTTTTATCTATCATAAACTGTATTTCTAAATTTCAAGATGATTTAATAAACAAAAAGTTTTTTATTACGTGTTGATTGCAAATCTGCAAAAGAGATTTTACAAAAAGATGTTAAAAATCTAGTTTCTAAACAAATTTTTGCAAGATGGCAAGCTATTTTATCTGTCTTTGATTTTGATATACAATATATAAAAGGTAAAAATAATTGTTTACCTGATTTTCTAACAAGAGAGTATTTACAGGGAAAATTTCAAGATCTTCAAAATGAGTGAACAAAAAAGGCCCATGGCTGCAGCAGATTACATCAAGAATCAACCACATCTACAAGGGAAACAAATCACCACCAGTAATCAATTCTCTGCATTGGCAGAATTTCCACCTCTGTCTTATGCAAAAGCCGTCAACCCATTACCTAAAAAAACAGCCACCCCTTCCTCTCCTCAAAAAACTACTGACCAAAAATCCTCATATGTCCTTAAACAACACCGCCAACACCTCACTACTACATCATTCACCAAACCAATATCACTAAAAGGCCTTACCCACTTTACCAACCGTATATTTTACAAGGATAGCCAATACCTCACCGACAACCTTACAAAAAACCGAACCTTTTATGAATTTATCCTCGTCGATAACAAGTCAGTTGAAATAACCCACCATACAGATAAAACCAACCCTGACCTTATATCCTATTCCACATGTAAAATCCTCAAGATATGCAATCTTCAAAACCTTGGACTCTTTAACTTCCATACCAGAAAAGATTTTTCTATTCCCGGGTATCATATTTCAGGGTTTACTTACGTAGATTACTAAAAAGCCTTCCTTCATATCCTTTACCTACATACCTATGACCATTCCTGGTTTATCTCTTTTGACTTTCACTGTCCCAAATCAATACCCGGATGGTTCTATGAATGGTTTGGACCATGTGACCAAATTTATCCTCCACAACTACTCAAAGTATCCATACCCTACTTCACTAAACACAAAAAACATGAACTCATTGGACCTTTACCAAAAATATCATTCCACATTGACATGGGAGTACTTTGGATCCTATCATGGCACTTTAACCTCATACCTTTTCTACCTGACATGCTATACTCTTTGGTCCGGGAATACCGAGTCAAATGGTGGGACAAATACAACTTGGATCGCTGTTCTGTCACCAACCTGGAAAAATGGATACAAACCCACGAGCAAATCAAGCAATCTGTGACAACGATGTCCCGAGCACTACCACCTATCAACACCAACGCTCAGAAAATCAAACCAACCAGCCTAACCGAGTCAACAACATCATCCTCTGGATCCAAGAAAACCAAGGGAAAAGATAAACTCAAAAAAATCCTTGAAGCCATCGCAATGCAAATATCTTCTTCCGAAGACGAAGATGACACTACACCCAAGGATACACAAGACGACAACCCATATGGCGGTCCATTATCTCAAGATCCTTTCGAAAATTAAATTTATATCATTCAAAAAAAAAAATTTGTGGCTAAAGATATGTAAAATAAGTATTTACAAATCTATATATCCTAATATGTAAAAATATATATGTAAAAAGTTTTATCTTCGTATGTAAAAAAAATAATAATAATAATAATAATAATAATAATAATCATAAAATAAAATCCGTGGCTAAAATATAAATATTACAATATGTAATCTTGCAGCACAACAGCACAATCAAGACAACGAAGAAAACAAGACTACCAATGAAGAAAAAATCAGCAATCAGAAGAAAACGACAATATCATCAATTATGCCAACATCAAGACTCGTCAAAAGCTAAGAAAATAAAAAAACAAAAGGATTCAGACTATTCAAGACCCTGGAGACAAGAGACAAAAATATCAAGATTACTCAGCAACTTCAAATCAAGACACATCATTCATTATTATAATGAAGACACAACAGCAACTTCAAATCAAGACAAATCATCTCTTAATGAAGACACAACAACCTATACTTCCATCAACCCTTTAGTATAAATAGGGAAGAGAGTGGGGAGAGAGGGGGCAGAGTGTTTTGAGCGAGAGAACATTGTAAAAGTTTTCCATCTACTCTCTTTGTATTTTCTTCCGTGAACTTTTAAACTTTTGTTTTCAATCTTTGTACTACCTACCAAGTTTAATAAAGTAAGTTTTAATCATATTCTTTATCATAGTTCTTAAATTTTATATCCTTTTTAACATATACATACCATATAAAGTAATTTCAACATATACATACCATATTAAGTATACAAAGATATAATCTGGGATAAATGGTATCAGAGCCAGAAATCTCGGCTAATTATTTTGTTAGTTAAATATTTTTATATGAATTTTTTAAGTAGTTAGTCAGATATCAAGTCAATATATTTTTAAGTGTTTTTAAAAAAATAATATTTTGTAAAACTTAATTTTTGTTTTAGTTTTTTATTTAATTAATTTCTTAATATTGATTTCTTAAATAATTAGCTTAAATATTTATATTATTTTTGTTAGTTAAGTTTTTTAGTATTATTTAAGTTTTTTTATTCTCTTACTTATTCTGTTTATATTGATTTTGTTAAATAAATAACATAGATATTAAGTTAATATCCTCTTTTTTTGTTAATTTATCATTTTAATTGTATTGACATGTTGTAAGAAATAATTTATGTTTTGGTTTTTGTTAGTTAAACATTTTTTTATATCGCTTTCTTTAGTAATTAGCATAAAGTATCATGTTTGGTTTGTTAAGATTTTTGTGTTTATTTTCTTAATATTTCCCCCAAAATTATAATTTTTAGATGACTTTCTTTTTTTGATAATTTAAGATGAATGTTTTTTTGGTAGTATTAATATTTTTAAATAACAATTTTATACGTTTATATGATAATTTAATATTAATAGTTCTTCTAAATATATTACTTATTTAAAATGTATATGCTAATTTTTTTTTAATTTAACTTTTTGTTATTGATTTACATTTTTTTGATATGAAAAGTGGATTTTGGCAAATACAAATAGCCAAAAAGGATAAATATAAAACTGCATTTACTGTACCTTTTGGGCACTATGAATGGAATGTTATGCCATTCGGTTTAAAAAATGCACCCTCAGAATTTCAAAATATTATGAATGAAATATTTAATCCTTACTCTACTTTTTCAATAGTATACATAGATGATGTTTTAATATTTTCAAAATCTATTGATCAATATTTTAAACATTTATATACTTTTTTAAGTGTTGTTAAAAAACATGGACTAGTAATATCAGCAAAAAAGATGCAAATATTTCAAACAAAGATAAGATTTTTAGGACACAATATATATCAAGGAACTATGACATCTATATCCAGGTCTATAGAATTTACAAATAAATTTCCTGATGAAATAAAAGAAAAAACTCAACTACAACGATTTCTAGGATGTTTAAACTACATATCAGATTTTTGTACCTATTATACGAAAACTTATTCAACCATTATTTCAAAGATTGCAGAAGAATCCAGTCCCATGGTCTAGTTTGCATACTAGTATAGTCCAAGATATTAAAAAGAAAGTTATAACCTTACCATGCTTAGTCATTCCATATCCAAGTGCATTTATGATAGTAGAAATCGATGCATCAGAAATAGGTTATGGGGGAATCCTTAAACAAAAAATGTCAGAGTCAACCCATGAGTCAATAGTTCGGTTTCATTATGGAGTATGGCTTGGCCCCCAAAAGAATTATTCTACAGTTAAAAAGAAGTTTTATCTATCATAAACTGTATTTCTAAATTTCAAGATGATTTAATAAACAAAAAGTTTTTATTACGTGTTGATTGCAAATCTGCAAAAGAGATTTTACAAAAAGATGTTAAAAATCTAGTTTCTAAACAAATTTTTGCAAGATGGCAAGCTATTTTATCTGTCTTTGATTTTGATATACAATATATAAAAGGTAAAAATAATTGTTTACCTGATTTTCTAACAAGAGAGTATTTACAGGGAAAATTTCAAGATCTTCAAAATGAGTGAACAAAAAAGGCCCATGGCTGCAGCAGATTACATCAAGAATCAACCACATCTACAAGGGAAACAAATCACCACCAGTAATCAATTCTCTGCATTGGCAGAATTTCCACCTCTGTCTTATGCAAAAGCCGTCAACCCATTACCTCAAAAAACAGCCACCCCTTCCTCTCCTCAAAAAACTACTGACCAAAAATCCTCATATGTCCTTAAACAACACCGCCAACACCTCACTACTACATCATTCACCAAACCAATATCACTAAAAGGCCTTACCCACTTTACCAACCGTATATTTTACGAGGATAGCCAATACCTCACCGACAACCTTACAAAAAACCGAACCTTTTATGAATTTATCCTCTTCGATAACAAGTCAGTTGAAATAACCCACCATACAGATAAAACCAACCCTGACCTTATATCCTATTCCACATGTAAAATCCTCAAGATATGCAATCTTCAAAACCTTGGACTCTTTAACTTCCATACCAGAAAAGATTTTTCTATTCCCGGGTATCATATTTCAGGGTTTACTTACGTAGATTACTAAAAAGCCTTCCTTCATATCCTTTACCTACATACCTATGACCATTCCTGGTTTATCTCTTTTGACTTTCACTGTCCCAAATCAATACCCGGATGGTTCTATGAATGGTTTGGACCATGTGACCAAATTTATCCTCTACAACTACTCAAAGTATCCATACCCTACTTCACTAAACACGAAAAACATGAACTCATTGGACCTTTACCAAAAATATCATTCCACATTGACATGGGAGTACCTTGGATCCTATCATGGCACTTTAACCTCATACCTTTTCTACCTGACATGCCATACTCTTTGGTCCGGGAATACCGAGTCAAATGGTGGGACAAATACAACTTGGATCGCTGTTCTGTCACCAACCTGGAAAAATGGATACAAACCCACGAGCAAATCAAGCAATCCGTGACAACGATGTCCCGAGCACTACCACCTATCAACACCAACGCTCAGAAAATCAAGGGAAAAGATAAACTCAAAAAAATCCTTGAAGCCATCGCAATGCAAATATCTTCTTCCGAAGACGAAGATGACACTACACCCAAGGATACACAAGACGACAACCCATATGGCGGTCCATTATCTCAAGATCCTTTCGAAAATTAAATTTATATCATTCAAAAAAAAAAATTCGTGGCTAAAGATATGTAAAATAAGTATTTACAAATCTATATATCCTAATATGTAAAAATATATATGTAAAAAGTTTTATCTTCGTATGTAAAAAAAAAAAAAAAAAAAAAAAATAATAATAATAATAATAATCATAAAATAAAATCCGTGGCTAAAATATAAATATTACAATATGTAATCTTGCAGCACAACAGCACAATCAAGACAACGAAGAAAACAAGACTACCAATGAAGAAAAAATCAGCAATCAGAAGAAAACGACAATATCATCAATTATGCCAACATCAAGACTCGTCAAAAGCTAAGAAAATAAATAAAAACAAAAGGATTCAGACTATTCAAGACCCTGGAGACAAGAGACAAAAATATCAAGATTACTCAGCAACTTCAAATCAAGACACATCAATCATTATTATAATGAAAACACAACAACAACTTCAAATCAAGACAAATCATCTCTTAATGAAGACACAACAACCTATACTTCCATCAACCCTTTAGTATAAATAGGGAAGAGAGTGGGGAGAGAGGGGGCAGAGTGTTTTGAGCGAGAGAACATTGTAAAAGTTTCCCATCTACTCTCTTTGTATTTTCTTCCGTGAACTTTTAAACTTTTGTTTTCAATCTTTGTACTACCTACCAAGTTTAATAAAGTAAGTTTTAATCGTATTCTTTATCATAGTTCTTAAATTTTATATCCTTTTTAACATATACATACCATATAAAGTAATTTCAACATATACATACCATATAAAGTATACAAAGATATAACCTGGGATAAATGGTATCAGAGCCAGAAATCTCGGCTAATTATTTTGTTAGTTAAATATTTTTATATGAATTTTTTAAGTAGTTAGTCAGATATCAAGTCAATATATTTTTAAGTGTTTTTAAAAAAAATAATATTTTGTAAAACTTAATTTTTGTTTTAGTTTTTTATTTAATTAATTTCTTAATATTGATTTCTTAAATAATTAGCTTAAATATTTATATTATTTTTGTTAGTTAAGTTTTTTAGTATTATTTAAGTTTTTTTATTCTCTTACTTATTCTGTTTATATTGATTTTGTTAAATAAATAACATAGATATTAAGTTAATATCCTCTTTTTTTGTTAATTTATCATTTTAATTGTATTGACATGTTGTAAGAAATAATTTATGTTTTGGTTTTTGTTAGTTAAACATTTTTTTATATCGCTTTCTTTAGTAATTAGCATAAAGTATCATGTTTGGTTTGTTAAGATTTTTGTGTTTATTTTCTTAATATTTCCCCCAAAATTATAAGTTTTAGATGACTTTTTTTTTTTGATAATTTAAGATGACTATTTTTTTGGTAGTATTGATATTTTTAAATAACAATTTTATACGTTTATATGATAATTTAACATTAATATTTCTTCTAAATAAATTACTTATTTAAAATGTATATGCTAAATTTTTTTTAATTTAACTTTTTTGTTATTAATAATATTTTTTTATTTTTTATGTTTAATGAAAAACGCTGATATAGACTAATCAGATTGAGTATATATGTCATATGTGGATGCTCTCATTGGCCTAAGACATCAACACAGACCACAACTAATATATTTTAAGTTAGCATTTCAGATTTTAATTGTTTGTAGTCATTAAAATTTTAAAATAATTTAATTATAGTTTTAAATGCATTTTTTGATAATTTTGTTTAATATATATGATTTTATTTCATAATCTATTTATATGTTAATTTACCTTTTTATTGTTAATAGAAAAATAAGATCTATTTTTAAAATTCTTTTTTATTAATAACTAACTTAAAATTCAGAAATTTTTTTAATAACAACAAAAACAAAATTAACTAAAATTTAGAAATTTTAACAATTAAAAAGAATTAATTAATTTTAATATATAATATATAATTAACTAAAAATAATAATGATGTGTATCAATAGAATTGAATCTTTAAATTCTATGTAGACATCCTTAGAGGCATTTAGCATCAACTTTTATTAGTAATAGATATGAAGTATGATTTTAGATATAATTATTTTTAAAATAATGTTAAAATTTTCGAAAAAAAATTGTGAATTTTATTTATATAAGATTATTACAGTTTTACCAATTAAAAAATATTCCACTTATCTGAGTTATTAGAAAAGTATAATATTTTTTACAATTTTATAGTTGTACTATATATATACATGTAATTGTAACCATTCAAAATTACGTAAGGCTAATTTATAATTTTGCATAATATATTTCTATTATAGAAACGCACTTAAACCATGCTGTTCAGCCAGTTGTTTGTCTCGTATTATCTATTTTATTGTTACCATTCAATTTCTAAATAGTTTATTGAATTAGTAGTATTTTTTTATTGGCCCTCTTTAAAAATATTAAATATTTTAAATAAATTTTATTTAAAAACTTATCTTTCTCGATCCACCATTGCCGTTGATATACTACATGCACGCACATGCACATTAAATGGAGATTTTCATATCACATCAATTCAATAGAGAAACATCTGGTTTGATACGTCATGATTTATTAATGGTTCTCTTTTTCCTTTGACAGTTAAAGTGGTCCACGTTTTTTTTGGGTGTGAACACTCGCGCATATTAAATCTGCATTATTGGAAAGAAAAATATTATTTGAAAGGTACATGTCTATACACATCTATATAAACATACATCCATTATCCATATGGGTGTGGATACAGAAATCCACACTCAGAAATTTATGTATTTTGTAAGAGAAGAAATTTTAGGAGAATTAAGGGCTAAACTCCCTCGAACAGATTGACTGTATAAGCAAGCATTAACTAAAATAAGGATTTCATTATTAATCGGTCGAATGAAACGGTTACAGAGATTTCGATAGAAAAGACGAACTCGAGGAGCTCTGAGAACAGTTACAGAATTTCTAGGTGTAAAAAGTGTGTAAAGAGATCAAGCCGAAGATCCTCGAACTAAGCCATTCTCCTCCTTTATATAGCTTGCCGCATCGAGCTTCGAACTCCAGCGCGTATCTCGGCCACGTACAGCAGCTTCAGCCGGAAATCTCGCCACGTGTAGCAACCTCCTCCGCGATCTTCAGACTCGTTTGAACTGGCGAGAATATGCTCTAACTCAGCTCAAATCCTTCCTTGTTTCTCGGGATTTGGTCGAGCTGCAGCTCGACTTCGCCGACCGGAGCGTCTTGCTGCTCAGGATTGGATCGTTGAGAGGTGAATGGGCTTGGGCCATAAGCTTGAAGTCCAGTCATTTTGGCTTAGTTCAGACTTGCCAGTTGAGCTTGAGTGGGCCGGATTTGGGATGCCAAATCCAGCTCCAACAATTGCTCCCCAGCCTATTAACGAGAGCGCGCTCGAGCTTTAATGGGCGGCAAGTAGGGACTTTTGAAAGATTTTGTGTTTGATTATGCTGACATCACAGAGTCAGATAATCATTCGAGATCGACGGTTCACACCTTGGAAAGGTGAACAGTTCATCGATCGTGTGGTCGGGAATCGACCTCGAAACTGCAACCTTGCGTGTGGAGTCAGATTCATTATTATCTCGTCCAGGTGGACGGTTGAGATCCAGAGTAAATATTATCATTTACTTTTTTGTTTCAGCGGTCGAGCTTCCAGGGGCAAGGTGCTGCGCTCGAGAAGATTCGTGCAGGATTCGCGTGACGTGGAAGGTCCAGATGGAGAGAGAGAAAGTTGATATGACAGTCTCAATCGATCGAGCTCTGAAGCACGTCGAATCATCAAGGTCGAATATTCGACGGTTGAGATCGGGAGATCGGACGGTTGAGGTTGGCGCGTGGTCAGATTCTCCGCGATCTCTGAGGTGGGCAATAATTGCTCAAATATAAAGTTCACCTTCTCCACTCCTTCTTTAACCGTATCTGCTCGTCGATTAAAGGTAACTTCTTCTCCCTTCTTCTTTTTATTTTCTATAACTTCCATTCGTCGTGATTGCTCGCTAGGTTTTCCCTCGTTTTCCGAAAGAACTTTGACCTTCATCCTCGAGTTTTCTGGGTTTTAGCGTTTTTATTCTCTTCCTCCTTCTTCTTTTTCTGATGTCAGCCATCGTAAAAATCGAGAGAAGAACATGATTTTTCGCTACTCGGACCTGAGGGCATTTTTCTCTGTCAAATATAACGCCCGCCGTTCTGGAACTTTCTACGCGTCCCCAAGGTCGAACCGGCGGTTCATCGAGGAGAGTCTGGAGAAGAACTCTGGTTAGGAGAAGACCGTGTTTAAATTATGGGTCAATGAAGCGCCCGTCAGAGATTTCGACTTCTCCCGGCTGCCGGTAGAGTTTACGGGCAACGGTTGACTAGCGAGGCTTAGACGTTTGCCAGCTTTACTCGCTTTGTTTTGCTCGACTGGTTTTCTGACCCTTTTCTTTTTTGTTGTTTATCTGGTCAGTTATCTAGAGCACCGAGAGATCCCAACATCGAGCACCGGCTAGAGTTGTTCAGGCAAGGAGAAGTTATCTGGAGCACGTTCACGCAAGAACGAGTCTGACGAGTCCTTTCATCACCTTCCCCGGCTCCGGTTGTCGCACTTGGTAAGTTTTTCTTGGTGAGCTGATGACCTTAGTTTGTTGGATCACGATGGAGTGATGTGTGCTGATTTATTTGGCTGGCAGCTGGAGTTCTTCCTCTTCGTTCTGTATCGCCCTCTTCTAATTCAGCAAGTTCAAGTTCAGCCATGTCTCGCAAGCCGACTTTTCGTCAATGAGCCGGGAAAGCCGCGGCCGGCCCCAACAGCTCCAGGGTTCGCTCCGGGAGCGTCAAGGAGGCCCTCGAGGCCGTGCTCGCCTCAGCTGTGGTTTCTGCACCTCACCTCCGTGATGAGAAGGTCAAGCAGATGATGGATCCTCAGCCCACCCCCCTCCCAGGTTAGTGGGGGCGATCTCCACGAGCTCAGGCAAGACTCAGCAGCCTGCTGATGACCAGGAGCCCGAGCACTCTTCCCAGCCTACCTCCAAGAGGC